CAGCAGGAAGTCAACGAGCCAGGATACTACCTACCAGCTGTGGAAGGCTGGGTCTATTGTTCCTAGATTAATGCATCTTTAAAAATGAAATAAATTTAAAAACCCCACCAAAACAGCAGAAGGAAGAAGAATCTAGAGCATTTTAAAGGTTTGGGGTTTTTTTTTTAAGCAAATACATTTAAAGATAGCACATCTAGGACTTGTTGTCATTAAATATTGCCCAGAATTTTAATAAGGCAGCTCAGGATTTAGGGTGCAGCTAAAAAGTTGTTACCTCCCATCAGCTGCTCCCCCCCATCCTTACCTTCAATGGGTGTGCAGTGAAAGGAGTGAGCTATTTTGTTCCACGCCTCTGTCACTTGTGTGTTCTGGATAAAAGACACATGAAAACATATTAAGGATATAAAATTCAAGCCCACAAGCATGAGGGGTTGTTTTTTTTTAACTCAATAGTGTTTTGTGATAAAACCAGCAAGTTTTCTAACCAACAGGTGCTCTAACACCTTCCAAACACAAAAAAAAAGAGGAGAAATAGTGTCAGTTTTTTCTGGTTTTAATCCTGTACCAACAAAAATGACACGTGACACCAGGTCAGCTCATCATCCTGCAATGCACTCAGTGCCTTCTCACAAGCCAACCCTCTTCAGGGGGATTACACCTGGAACTGAGAGTGACACGAGCTAAATGTGAATGTGACTCTGCAGTATTTCAGCCCCAAAGTATTTCAGCCCCAAAGTATTTCAGCCCCAAAGTATTTCAGCCAAATTGGAATTGTAACACAGAGACAAAGGAGATCACCTCCAACTGCTGAGGTGCCCGAGCACCCGGCGAGGGAGAGGTGCAAGGGGGAGATTTAAGGGAGCGCTGCTCAGCGGAGCTGCTGCGTGTGCCCAGCCACCTTCAGCAAGGAAAGAACCAGTGAGTGGGAGCACTGAGGCTTCCTCTAAAGCCACCATCACACAAGGAAGAACTCAGGCCCCACAGGGAAGCCAGAGCTGCTGACAGAAGAGTCACTGCCACCCACCCCAGCGGGTCGGTCTCACCCCAGCAGTGGCTCAGCTGTCGGCAAACAGCTGCTTCCAGATTCCCCGCATCGCTGGGCAATTCCTCCCAGGGGAGGTCACACACACGTTTATTTCAAGGCTGAAGAGTGGCACAGGCAGTGGCTGGATGTGAACTCCTCACCCTGTGTTCAGATTTCCCCTACATCAGTCTCTCACCTGGTTTCCAGGCTTTACCAAGCGCAGAGCTGCTTCGGCGCAGAGATGAGCTGCCTTGATGACATCAGCTTTACGGCCTGACACGGGGTTTTCCTGGAAGAACAGAAAAAACAGAGGGGTTTTTAAAGTTTGTTCCTTTCTCTTTTATAGCAAGAATGCTGTTGTGAGTGTCTAGAAATGCAGATTCTCCATCTAAGTGGAAATTCTCCCCTTAAAGGAAGGGGGAAATCAAGCTCAGAGGTGGAAGGGCTTCTGGCTCCACAGTGTGATTATGAGTCTTTCCTCTGTTAAAAGAGCAGCTGAGCATCAGCCACAACCAAATTGTCTCTTAGGAGTTCCAACAGAGACACTCAAGTACAAGCACATCACTGTCAAAGATAAACCAGTCTGTAACCAGTCTGTAACCAGAATGATTGGAAAATGGAACGATTTTCATACATTTCCAAGAATTTTGTTTTCTTTTGGGGTTTTTTTTGGTCTTCTCCCCATCAAATCATTCAGATGCAGCCACTGGTGGAAAACCACCCCAAGATCCACACTGCCACCCTCCTCCCAAGACTCCAAATTTGGTATGTGACAACTTGCTTTTGAGTCACACCTCTGAGCTCAGTTCATAAAGGTGAAGGCAGTGAGTCCCAACAGCGTGGTGCTGAGTTCCCTGTGCCTCCACCAGTAGAGGGGGCAGCAAAACCAGTCTGCCCAGTCCACCCCACAGCCCCAGACACTCTGCATGTAAATAACTGACAGCAGCACCACTCACACGTGGTTTGTCTCCAACTAATTGTAACCTTGCAAAATTGAACATGTTGAAACAACGCCGTCAACCCTCATTTTCCAGAGGATTGAAGAATTTTTAGGAATGAGGTTTTTTCCCCCTGTCACTGATGTGACATCAGATCTGTGGTGCCTTCATGAAACAAAATAGACACCTCCCCGAGGTTCCACGCTGCTGCTTTGGAACCAGAGGCACCATCAGCTTTTTAATCAGCACTTTGGAACCATCAGTTCTTGTGGCTGCTCCTCCCTGGAAGTGTTTGTGGCCAGGCTGGATGAGGCTTTGAGCAACCTGGTCTAGTGGAAGGTGTCCCTGCTGCTGGCAGGGGGGTTGGGACTGGATGGGCTTTAAGGTCCCTTCCAATCCAAACCATTCTATGATGAGTTCTTTAATCTCAGCTTTAGACAGCACTAAAGCAGCAGCAGTGGGAAGAGAAGCTGCTCCATCACCAACCTACCTTTGAGGCATCTATGACAAAACTGTGTGCTACATTCGCTATGAAGCCGTCGACGTGGACTCCCAAGTCACTGCAACACAAGAGAGTTAATTACAGGTGGGGTGTCACAGCTCAGGAAATTGCTGAGATTTCTAGAAGTATCAGAAGACTCGAGAGTGTTTCAAGCATTTCACTTGACTGGCTGTTTAGATTCTTTTATCACTCAGGCTGAGGAAGGATCCAACACACTGAGCAGGATTAGAAAGCAAAGCTCAGGTGCCAACAATGAACTCAACAAGAAGCACAACCACAACACTTACATTTTGACCAAGTCTCCGTCTTTGAGGATGTAGTCTTGGTCACTCTTCAGAGGGGAGAAGTGACAGACACAGTTATTTACTGATATACTCGTTGGGAAGGCAATACCTATAAAAGGAAAACAAATCTTCTGTAAGATCTTGCAGCTTCACACCTGGCACAGGCAGCAGCCCTGACAGTGCAGATCTTCACTCAGGATTCCAGGTTTTGAAGTGCTGTGAAATGCCCCGTTACACACACAGTGTGTGCTCTGCTCCTGCACCAGCTCTGTCAAAGAAACACATCCAAGGCAGTGAGCCACCTGCAAAAGGGACCTCAAGTCTCCACAAGAGAAATCAGGGAGTTCTCTGGGTGACACACTCCAGTGTCACACAATTTCCATGGTAACTGCGGACCAGTGACAGCCGTACCACAGGTCTCCCTGGAGGGAGGACACCGCTGGCCAAAGTAGCTCTCAGGTCCATGGGGATGTCTGGGAGCATGAGAAGGGGAAGAGAAGCATGTCCAGCAGGTCGAGGGAGGTGATTCTGCCCCTCTACTCCGCTCTTGTAAGGCCCCACCTGGAATACTGTGTCCAGT